CTTTTTTACACCATTCTTGGTTTAATCTGAATTATCTGTTTGTCAAGTCCACTATTGGCCCCTGGGATGCTCCCACTAATAGCCCGTGAATTCTGTTTTTGTTTTGCTAAGGAATGTTTTTGAGTTTGTTCTTAGGGTGTGCCCTTACCTTCTAGAAGTGTTCTTTGCTGGAACCTCATAAGAAATGGAGACATATGCCTCTTTTTCTCACATTCCATCTATATCCTAGTTTACTTGAAGATGCTATTTTCAATTCTTTTTCTCACTCATGTTGTTTTTTGGTGATTTCTAAACAAAAATGGTGGGAATGCTGAAAGTCCTTTTATAGGCTCCATTTATTAGAATGTTTGTCTTACACTCTCTCAGGAACCTCCAGAAGGTCTTATATTTATTCTTAGAAGAATAAGCTATCCTCAGTTTCCAGGTTATCTTCAATTTCTTCATTAGTTTTATAGATACTTCCCTTTAAAGGACTGGAAAATGACAAGATGGATCACAACTCTTGTTAGCTTTATGTGAAATAAGAAAAAAAAAAACTATCCACACTCTTTTTCTTGCTTATTCAGTTATTTACTTATTATTATTTATTGAGCATGTACATTTGACCAGACACTATATAGTTCATTCCTGATTGAACTGCTAGCATGAACCACATTTTCTTCTAGATAAGAGTTCATTTTCTTACCAATCAATTTGACACTCAAAATACTAGTTTTTGGGTTACTCTGAAGGACTCCAGAGCTGTAGGCAAAGGGAAGAAAGAGACTGGCACAGTGTCACAAATAGGGGACTGAGGTTTGTGGGCAACGAAAATGGTGAAAGCATCCCAGCTTCCACATATGTATATTTCCATGAAAACTTATGACCTCCCCATTTCCTTCACCCCCAGCTCTTGGGAACCACCAGTCTACTCAGTGCTTCCATGAGTTTAACTTTTTAGATTCCACATATAAGTGAGATCGGGCAGCATTTGTCTTTCTGTGTCTCACTTCTGTCATTTGGCATCACGTCCTCAGGTTCCTCCATGGTATTGAAAATGTATGGATAAATCTTCATGCTGTACACCTTAAATATATAAATCTACACTTGTCAATCATACCTCAAGAAAGCTGGGAAAAACTTGTAAAAATAGCCTTGATGACCTTATTTTAGTTCCAGCTTTACCAAATCTTCGGGTGGCATGTGATTTCTTGAAAGTCTTGTTGCTGTTAGTTGACATGCTTTGATGTTCACCAGCTCAATATTTTAAATTCACTGACAGGCTCCTAGCAACTTTTCTCCATTTGCTCAGTGTGTGTGGTGTTTTTTCTGGTTGTTTCAATGGTATTCTCTTCCTTTCTCTTCTCCGATTCTGTCTTATTCTCTCATGTCCTTCCATTTTCTTATCTTCTCTATTTTGTCTTCTCTCTCATGCTACTGGCTTCCCCTAAGCATTACCACATACTTCTGAAGATTTAGACACATATTACAGAACAGTGACATGACTCATGCAGGGATTTCACATCTGAATATCAGGCCCATGTCTTCAAGGTTATATGCTTCTACCTGGAAGATGCCTAGGCTCCTAAAACTCAAGATGTTGAATCTGGTCCTCATTCTGTCCTTGTCTGAGCCTCAAAAATGAAGACACATGAAAACATCCTCCTCACTGTATTTTCTTTCTGGATTAACACCCTTTGACTTTATCCAGGAACCCAAGAATTATCATTCAAGAGCATTCATTTATTCATTAACTATAATCAATGATAGCTTTTTCACGTTCCCTTCACGTGTCCCGTCTCTTCATCCAGAGTTATTGCTCATTTGTATTCTCTTACAGGTAAAGTCCCATGATCATTCCCTTTTAGGCTGCCCCTTCCTGTTCATCTTCTTCATTTCTTAAAGAGATGTTTCTAACGGTAAATGAGTCTGTCCATTCCATTATCAGAGCCACACAGTGCATGGCAAGCCCCTCCTGCCCCAGCACGTGGCGCTCTGTAGGCTGCCTCTGATTCTCTTTGCCAGCCTTCAGGCACAGTCATTTTGCCTCAACATCCCTGCGTGCTGAACCTGTAATACACTGTGACCATCACATCTTGGTGTCTTTACTCATATCCATTCATGTGTCTGAAGCCCCCTGCAGTCCTCAAATTCACTTTGCAAATCATCTTTCATTTGCAAGCATATACAATCGTGATTTCTTGTTAAATCAATGTGGGCTTTTTTTGTACTTTGACTAATCTCACAAAAATAATTCCTTCACTTACTGTCTAACCTCATGTTCCGAAACATCTATGCTTTAACTTTTCACTTATTTTGTAATAATTTTTTTTACATTTTTATTTATTTTTGAGAGACAGAGCACAAGTGGGGGAGGAGCAGAGGGAGAATGAGACACAGAATCAGAAGCAGGTTCCAGGCTCTGAGCTGTCAGCACAGACCCCAATGCAGAGCTCAAACTCACAAACTGTGAGATCATGACCTGAGCCGAAGTCAGGCGCTTAACCGACTGAGCCACCCAGGCGCCCCATGGATGCACTCTTCTTGATTCAGCCTATCCTTAGAGTTGTCAACAAATTTAGCAAAGGATAAAAAGAGCAGCGTGTGGACAACATGGGAGATTAACATTGGAAACTCCATCAAAGCAGGAAATATGTCCCTATTTTTGTCACAGTATAGTTCCTCAGTGGACACAATAGTCCACTTGATATATTACTACCTAAAATGAAATTTAGAACAGTGCCTGGCAGTTAGTATATCCTAAACAAATCCTCCTTTAATGTCAGAAGAAAGTATTTCCAAGTGCAAACATACTGATTATTTTGTCTGATATGTGTTTTCTTTTTTTTTTGTAAACATTTATTTATTTATTTTTGAGACAGAGAGAGACAGAGCATGAAGGGGGGAGGGTCAGAGAGAGAGGGAGACACAGAATCTGAAACAGGCTCCAGGCTCTGAGCTGTCAGCACAGAGCCTGACACAGGGCTCGAACTCACAGACCGTGAGATCATGACCTGAGCTGAAGTCGTCCGCTTAACCGACTGAGCCACCCAGGTGCCCCTGATATGTGTTTTCTTAACATGCTTGGTCCAATTGATAGCAGCTCATCTTGTATGACATACAAATTATTTAAACTCTTTCCACATATTTGATTATCAGCCTCTGCAAGTCTGACATATTCTTTTCAGATGCATGTATGAATACTTAAATTATAGAATTGTGAAGTATTTCTATGGACCTCAGTCATCTCATCTGAAAATGATGAGTTTGAACCTGATAACCTAAAAAAAAATTTTTTTAATGTTTTATTTTTGAGAGAGAGACAGAGAGAGCAAGCACGAGTGACAGAGGGGCAGAGAGGAGGGAGACACAGAATCCGAAGCAGGCTCCAGGCTCCGAGCTGTCAGCACAGAGACTGACGCGGGGCTCGAACCCATGAACCCCAAGATCATGACCTGAGCCGAAGCTGGATCCTTAACCGACAGAGCCACCCAGCCGCCCCTGAACCTGATTGATAACTTTTAATTTCCATCTTAGCATTAAGGATTTATGATAGCAGAGCATCTCCTTTGGCGTTACTGTCTCCATTTCCCAGCTCGACCATTTCTTCCACACAGCTTGTGGATGAGCCCTC